GGATTCCCCGGCAGGAAGTGGTTAATGTTTTACCACTGATATATGTTCATGATGAAAGGGCCTGTATAACGGTGTGTCTCATAGTTGAAAATGGTTGAAACATTCCACGCAGAATGTTCTCTTTGTAAAAAGGTGGCCATTTCAGTGGGAACATGATATCTCTGGAATTGTCTGTGCACAAAGCAGACCGTACCGCTCATGCTCGAACATTACAATGATCTAGTGTTCCAGTTGATAAGGTCCAATAGAACAGGAACATTCTTGATTTTTGACACTCAGTAATGTTTATCTGAGACAAATACACCAGTAGACCATTGATGTATGCTTATGTGCACAATGGCTAACATGGGTCCTGTGAAATGTTTTGCGGGTGTTGCCAACAAGTGGTCTGTTAGGGGTTTGGCTGTTATATGTGGTGCACAGGAGTAAGTTTGATCAGTCATAGCCAGCCATGGGACAATTTGACCTAGTACCGAGGGCTGTTAGAGGTTTGGATGTTACATGTGGTGCACAGGAGTAGGTTTGATCAGTCATAGCCAGCCGTGGGACAATTTGACCTGGTACCGAGGGCTGTTAGAGGTTTGGATGTTACAAATGTACATGTGGTGCACGGGGGGAGTTTGATCAGCGATAGTCAGCCATGGGTCAATTTGACCTGGTACCAAGGCTTTATTTTGTGTACTGATAATCTGCAAGAATCATCCAGTGATCAATACATGGTTACTGATTGTAGTGGCCCTGTATTAAACAACTGGCCTGGAAAGCTTTTGCTGTAGACACAGGGACTACGTCCCAAGTAGGAAAGCATTCCCAAATGAGAAGTAGATGTTCTCATTTGGACCTCCCCTCCCGTAAATTTGAAAGATTACAGGAAGGGCCGGATTTCACGCCATAGCCAACATTTGGAGATTCATACATAAGATGGAGACTTCTTTTTTTATCGTTGCTGGTCAGAATGTGGCATGATACTCCGGATTGATGGATGAAAATTATCACTCTTAACCATTTCTTGCCGAGGATTCCGGATCCGGACACGTATGCTTTATATGCCTGGCCGGGGTCTCCGAACTCGGACAAAGGGAACAGGGCCTTGTAACAAAAGACCGTATTCGGGAACAAAAGACCAGGCCTTTGGGCATTACCAACATTTTTCACTCTCAAAAGTGGAGATAATCCAGCCTTATTTTGAAACAGTATACCACGGTTTGGGGCATTTAAAGCAAGCGGATTACTACCGGGGACAAAAGCGCTCTACCACTGCAGCAATGAGCCACACAGCACCGCTACAGGCTAATCTGGCCCCTATTGAAAAGAGGTCAGCAGCTGAGCCAGGTTCGTGAACAAAAGAAAGTTATATAACACCGCACAATCTGGGCTCTTTATACAAGGCTTGCAGGCCTGGCTGAAATACTCAGGTGTTTATAGATTTTGTCTGTCAGGCTAGAGGGGTCACCAGACAGTCCTTCACGTGTTTGTAAGTGTCCAGTAAATGAAGATTTTTAACGAATTTCAAAAAAAAAAAAAATGATAATTATCGCAGACCAGCATCATCAACATTGATAACTGCCCCCGGCAGCAAGTGGTTAAAAAACTAAGTCCAAGAACAATTTTTTTGTTTTGGCCTGAAATTATTTGTGTCACTCCCGTACACACAATATAAATGTACACAATTCTCTAATTGTTTCGCTTCATGCTGTAATGTTTGGTATTCATTTTATGTCAACTTGTCTCACACAGAGTCAAGAATCTTCAGACTTGAACCTGACATGTAGAAACAGAGGCTTAAAAAGTAACTCTGTCCTCCAAATAATCCTATTTATGTCCCACACCCCACCTTTAGGGCTCGGAGGAGGTCCAGAAGATCAAGAGCACTCGTGGTAGGGCAAGCCATGAGGTTGTTGAAAGCCTTGGTCACAGCTGTTTCCTTGACTTTGATGAGACTCCTGTAGAGGAAGATGAAGCTGATGATGAACCTGACGGCAGTGAACCTTCAATGTTCAAGTAAGCCATGCATTAGTTGAACAGTGGGCTTACTCCAGTTCTTGTCCCTTTTGAAGTACATGTAGCTACAACTTGGTTTTGTAATCGAGAAGGTTTTCAAAATCTGCCAAAACAATTTTCAGTTAATCAATAATTCATCCTTTGTACTGAGGCAACAAACATCAAACCCCATGAATTAAAAATGCTAATGAGTAATGTCAGGGCTGAATAGTCCAGAATGCATGTAAACACTGGAAAATTCTTAAAATGCTTAAATGGGATGAATCAAGGATCATTAGGGTACGCTGTTGGAAGTTTGTGATAGCGCCACAGCAAATATGTTTTGAGTTGTATGAAAGTAATTCTGAGAAAAGCTAATGGATTTTTGGATTACCATGTCTCATCTTGGAAAGGATGCTTGCCACGCTTTAGCCAAGAATCTTCAACAATGTTTATTTTTCTGTAACAGGGTAAATCTTGCTAGACAGTTTTTAGCATGTGTACAGAATCTTAAATTAATATTGATTAATGCTGGGAGTAGTAAGAGGAAAGTAGTAGAAGGTTTACAGTGGGAAGAATCCAGAGAGTGGCACCTGATGAAGGGAGAGGTTCTCTTGGAGATGGTCCCTAAAATAAACAAGAATTACTACTTGGTTTGTTTTAGGCTTTTTTTTCTTGTGATACACCAACAGCTGTGTGTAAACAAAAAATTACCACTGACTTTCTTTGAAGATGTCCTTTTTGCTAGTCCAGGAAATCGATTTCTTGGAGACGAATCTGATGTTCAGCTCACAAATGGGGTAAAGAAAAGGGCAACTTTAAAATCAACTCTGTTGGCAGCATAGAGTAGTATAGTCAAGGGTGTGTACGTACATGTACCAGTTCTAGAACCATTCTGGTCTGTCAACCTCATCACTGCAAATCATCCATAATTAATTTTCCCTAGCTTTGATGTTGCCTTAAATTGTGGTTTGCACAACAGAATTCGGTTATTTTCTTCTACCATTTTCCCCTTTAACTCCCTCTCAGGTTGTCTGATAACTCTGGACAGCTGGAGTTTACTTCAGTTTCAAATGAGGGAACACTGAGCAGAAGCAACCTGTCACCCGATGTAAGTGCTTCTATGTCTCATAGAATACTTTCTGCACAATCTACTTCTTAAGAATTTGAAGAGCTCATGTTTAGTGTCCACTCTACAGTTGACGATCTCTTAATAACTATGCAAAACTCTTTCTAACATGTAGTACTCTACATTTTTATGAATACCAAATTGAAGTACAGTAAAATCTCAATAGGTCGAAGCTCAGGGGAATGGACGAAAAGTTTGAGTTATCCGGCATTCGAGTTATCGAAAGTTACACGCTTCAGTGCACACCTAACCTTACTGGCTTACGGCAGTTGGCCTGCAAGTTGAGTCGAACATGAAGTAGATTTTAGGCTATCCCTACTGTGCAAGTTTTCCTCAAACATCATCATTACACATGTTTTTATGTGGTACATTAATAAACAATAAACCAATGAAGTTATGTACCGGTACCTGTGTCTACGTCTTGAGAATTCATTCATTTGCTTTGCTTGATCGGGCTGTTACCACATAATGCAGCACGCAGGCCAGTCAGTCAGGGCTTCCGTGCTTGGTCACGCGATACATGTACAAAGCGCTTGAGGGCGCATCATTTGTGCCTGAGTTATTTTACGGTTGCGGTTGATGCCCACCCAGTGCTTGTCGACGTGACAATGGCAGCCTGTGTGAACATGCTCAGGTCATCAATGAAAAGCCGTGCGCGTGACAGTAATGACTCATAATGAAGGCAAGCGTTGTTTCATCACTTTTTATTCATCATTCTTCAGTGTTTTGTTTTTTAATTGACTTTGAGATAAGTGGCTTTAGTGGTATTGGCGTTTCGAGTTACGGATAGTTTATTGTACATAAGGGTCTTTTTTTTGTTTCGACCTGATGGGCTTCAACTTATCGAGATTTTACTGTATGTTGCTGTGGGAAACAAAGATTGTATAGAATTTACATGTAGATTACCTGTTTGTCAGAAGTCTCATGATTCCAATGAGGACATTTCCTCTTAAATGTAAGGCTCTGAAGCACCCCATCATGGCTGTTAGAGTTACTTTCAATTTTTGCCCTTGTTTTTGTTTTCCCAAGGATGTCTTTATTCTTGACACAACAAAAGAATGTTTTGTCTGGATTGGTTCAGGAGCCAGTGTTGCAGAGACACAAAATGGCATGAGTTATGCACATGTAAGTTGCTTTTAAGAGATAACAGTTTTCCTAATTCATTTTCTTTAAGACCTCCCAGTTCCTGCAAGCTTGGATTTCCTGGATAAGGGTACTCAAGGGTTAAGAAGTAGTAATATCTGCAACTTGAAAGTAACTACAGATAGGAATTAATTGTGGATCTACTGTATTATTTTCACAGACAAGAAAAATTCAGACGGCAGCATAAACTTCACACTCACAAAGAATAGAATTATAGAATACCATGTTACAAACATTATGGTATGATGTCTATAATAGATGCATGTAAATACACTGATGTTTCACTGTACACGCATATGATGGCACCCTTTAATGGCGGTAAGTAATGTCTTGGATTTCCTGTGGACTGTCACAGAACAGTGACTCTATACAATAGCTGTCACAATGTTTACCGCCATTAAACAGGGCCATTGCAAATGACCAGTGATGCCATTTCCATGGTCACTGTAATTGTCTGTATATTGGTCTATTGTAGGGTTAGTTCACAGATTGACTTTGTAAGAAGCCAGTTTTCACTTTTTCTATTTGTCATAGAGTTACTGGATATATTGCCCTGCATTAAATCAACTGTGCTACCTTTATGTGCACTATCACACTATTGCAAATACTGAGGTAGCCTGATAAACGTTTATTTTTTCATTCCAGAACTATCTGAATAACACGTCTCACCCACTTATTACAGTCAGCATCATCAAGCAAGGCAAGGAGACTCGGGCATTCATGCAAGCCACTGTAGCCTAAAAAGCAGAAACCATTTGTTGTTAGTATTACCACAATGGCTTTCACCTGTCACCTGGTTCAAAGCAGTGTATGGTCCATTCTATAAACTTCTCAACAAAGTTGTGGTGGTTTATACTCACTACGTGCACAGCAACATACATGTACCTCAAACCCCCAAACCTATCACTCTTTATCTAAATAATGGAAGTAGTGTCCAAATATTAGCATGTTTTGTCAGCCTTAGGACCTATAATGATATTTTTCTGCTTGCTGAAAAGGTTCGAATTGGTTCAGTTTTTCATGTGTAGAAACTGTCGCTATGATCATAAACTGGTAATTTTACTTATGTCATTGTGTACATGTACATGAAGTCATAGTTTCTCCACTGTTCTTGCACTTGACTCTTAACTCACATTAATTATAGTTGAAAATTTCTGATTGAGATATGTTAATACTCTACATTGAAGTAAATGTTCAAGATACAGACATGCCTATTTCTTGAAATACTTGCAAAGATGATAAAAATAACTGTTTGTTAATCTATGAGAATTTTTGTTAAGATTTTTTATCAGTAGTCAAGCCTGGAGAACAGCTTATCTTTGAGTTTATCTTGGACAGCCGTTAGTGATAACTGAAATGCTAAACACATACCTGTATTGTATGCTACACATCTCTCTGACCTGATACATAAAACCATGTCTTAATTACCTGGCTTCAGCAGACAATAATACATGTGAATTAGGAAGTTACTGTCTAGTAGCTAGAGTTACTGTACGAGTACAACTGTTCTCCATGTGTCTTAATCTAAGCCATCTTCAAGCAGTTCAGACATCAGCAGACAATAATATGTATAACCTAGGAAGCTATTGGTTGGTAGCTTCAACCATTTCCCATGTGTCTTAATCTATTAAAGCCATCACTAAGCAATTCAGACATCAGCAGACAATAACATGTATGACCTAGGAAGCTATTGGCTTGTACCCCCATGTGCAACCATTTCCCATGTGTCTTTATCTGAGCTGTAGCCAAACAGTTTAGACATCAACAGACAATAACATGTATGACTTTAAAAGCTCTTGACTAGTAGCTTCAACTATTTCCCATGTGTCTTAATCTAAGCTGTAGTCAAGCAATTCAGACACACGATAGACTTTATGATTAGGGTTACCTGATCAGAATAGTCTGGTGCTTAGGCCGTAGTGGTTTAATGGTCAATGATTCAGGGAACCTTCAAAAAGTGCTGCAGCATGAAAACAGAATTATAAGCTCAAAGTAAATGTATGGGGCAGTATGCGTTGCTTGTGAGAGTGAATATGATGTCCCCTTCATTCCCACCTTCTCATTTAAGTAGCAATTAGTGGCACCTAATATTAATTCCCAGTGCTACACATTGCTGATAAGTCACCTTTGAGAGGGTGGCTTTATTGTAGTTCTTGTCAAAATTCACTTGCAGCCGTGAGCATAAAAACCATGGATCATGATGAAGTAGTTATGCTATCTTGATTACATTTATGCAAAAACCAGATTAAGAAGAATCATATATATTGACAATGAATTAAATATATGCCTAAGGTATTTGCATATGTAAATGAAAGACTAATGATATGAATCTGAGATTTTATGAAATGTTAGACTTCTGTTGAAGTTCTGATATACCTGTCATAAGAGTTTCAGATTTGCAAATAAGTTTTTAATTGACAGAAATAAAAACCTGTGAAAGCTTTCAGAACAAAATTTTGTTGCTGTAATTGTAATATCATATCAGATATTCCCATAACAAATGAAAGTGTTTTTATTTTTTCCCCAAATTAAAGTTTCTTGTAAATAAAAGATCTTAATTGAATTTGCTTGAATATAAACACTACACCCATATCTTTCAATAGTGCAAAGAACACTAATTATAAATTTAGCATATCAACCTTTCTTTCGTAATACTTCATGTAGTGAGTCATTTTATTTAGTAGTTTTTCTTCCAGATATAGAATAGTTCGGTGGCAGCTATTAGATGTAATGTGTCCTTTTGTTCTGATGTATTATTGATTATGTGAGTTTAAGATGCTTACATGTTCTTCCTTTTTGCAACTTTTCACTCTGCCTGTTGGAAGGTTGTCTCATCTAATTGCCAATAAACAGTTGAAACCTTGCTTAAAATGTAAAGGAAATCAAGAAAATGTCCAAATGTTGGGAACAACATCTTCTTTGCTTTTGAGCTTTGGTTAATGAAATGACAGTATCTGCAGTTATTTCTAAGGAATGAAATCCTGCATTTTGTAATGACAAGTGTCCAGTGATTTTTTAAATACATGTGTAGTCCCTTCGGCTGTTACTCTTGCTGTTGTTTATCTTTCTAGTTAGGTGGATAGAAGAAACCAGACCAATAATACTGTCACAGTCTTTCATCATTCCATGAAATTTGTATCATTCCATTGATGCATTCCCGTAGCAAAATTGGATTATACATTCATACGTACTTTTGGAAAGATGATTTTATTTTGCTATCATTTGAAAACGTTCTTCCTCTTAATGTTTTCTTCTTGAGAATTCTTTGACCAAGTCTGCTGACATCTTTAAATATGGACATTTATCATTTGATATGAACTAGTCATAAGGTTTTATGGAATGGTGCTTATTTAAGGGAATGTTAATTTTCAGCAGTTACATTTATGTGACCTAGAAGTGGAGTGTAGTATGCAAGACCCCAGTCTTCATTTGATATTCTTGTCAAGATTTGTAGAAATCTTCTGTGTTGTTTGCAAAACGATGTGACATAACATGGTATTAAATTAAGGTCTGTGTGAAGTTGTAATACTTGTTTAAAGCTGGTTTTCATAGATTGGCACTAATTTCATGTTGTCCCCTGTGGTTTTTACCTGAAATTTAGAAGAGTTGAGAATATTACAGCATCTGGGGTTGAGATTGTGTAATACAATCATTATGGTACAGTGTAATTCGTCTTTGCAGACCCTATGCAAAGTTAGGAGATTTGGAAGATGGAGCATAGTGAATGAAAAATGGTTCCTCATCACAAAAAACACAATGTACATGCACATGTATTTTTTTCAAGATATATCTGGACCTGTGATTATATTCCCCTCTAAAAGTTATCTTCTTGATGAGTGTTTATTATTTTCTTCGGGATGCCAAAGTTTCAACTTGGCACTCTTTCTATGTTGAACCTTTTCGTGAATGTTTGAGCAAATTATAGAGTACCGAAGTGTGATGCCATTTTGAATGAGAAAGTGTAATGCAACCAAATGGAGTACACCCACTGTGCGTTGTACAATGGAGGTAGTTATTGCGCATGACGTACTGTAGAACGTTAGACTTTCGGTGTCTGGTAAATGGGCAAGCCTTTTGCGTAAGATTTCAGTTGTCAGAGTTGTCGTTATAAGGAGAACTTATTTAGCAGTTTTCTGTGTTTATCCTCATACTTACAAAATGCCACAGAAAGTCTACAGTTTAGTTTGCAGCTCATCCTTGGTTGTGCGGAGACGCGAAATTTACTTGCAATATAACTATAGACAATATTGTATACATTATCTACAATTACTTTCAGTACATCCTGAATTAAACCATTACTGTGACTCGAAGTAAAGGTGCACCAGCCTCTTAAAATGGCATGTGGCTTTCTAGTCAACAGTGGCAAATATTTGCTATAGTTTGTATGTGACCACTTTGTTATCAAATGGCAATTTTTTGTGAACAAAGTTGGCTTTTTGTTGTATTTATTAGGGTTATAACGTCCATAAGTGCCGCTTCCAGATCTACGGGGTTCAACTGCAGTCTGAAGTATCATGTAAAGAAGTTGTTATCTGTTTGCAATCTGAAAGTCAACCCCTGCTATGATCGAACATTAGGTCATGTACATGTACATGTGTATGTACATGTACATCACAGATATCTCTATTTTACTGGATGGATAGCTTCGAGCCTGTGACCTGGGGTCACTGCGCGTCACCACTTGTGATACATGTACATGTTCATGTTGTAAAGTGGGTGACGAGTTATTTCCCAGTAATTTCCTGTCCTTTTTACATGTGCACGTATATGTACATGTACATGTTCATACATGTTCATGTACTTGAGTTTACTAGCTACTAGGACTGGCAGGCAGGGCGTACTAGTAAAGCTGGAAAGTGTGGGCGTTGGCGGACTGATTGTGGGCTTATTCACCTGTAGACTTTTTCAGAGCTTTGCGCAGTAAGTTGTACTTAATTGTGTATGATTTCCATTCAGTTTTTGCCGTAAACGACTTGATATAAGACTAACTATGCGGAAGTGCGCGCAACCAGTGCGCACATGAACTGGGCGCCGCGCCCAGGTTCATTATGCATATCCTAGCCGCTATATGTCGTTACTAGTACTGCGCACAAGTACAGTACATTTAACTTACAGCAGGTACGGTTCGGTACGCGTATGGTACATGTAAGAAGTGTCCACGAACTCCATCCATATAGCCTTGTATCGGTAAAGTTGCTTTTGCGTGTTCCCATTCCACAGGTAGGTAAGGTACATGTAAATATCGTGAATATGACAGGAGCCCTTTGTTGCATGTATCAAGTGCTCCTCTAAGATGTTCTTGAGCTTTGTGCGTGTGTGTGTGTGAGTTTGTGTGTAGCGCAACTACATGTACATGTACATTACAAGCTGTCACCGCGAGAAGCTTCGAGCGACCCTGAGTGCTGAGGTGCAGCCTGTTGTGTGCCCGCGGGTCTCGCCCACCTCGGATTGACCATGGAGGAATGGACTGACCGAGCATGTTTACCAGTTGGTTTGAGTTCGTGACCGATTTGTGACATAATATCCGGCAAGGATTCCAAACACGCTTGGGAAGAGTTTTCCCCTTATTCCTCTGTGCATGTATGCGAACATCAGTGAGTTTTACTTTTTAGTCGTATGTTATTGGTAAGATTTCAATAAACGGAAATTACTGTTTTTCCCCTTGCTGTAGTTTAACATGTCCCAAAAAGTCAGTTTTAGCAGTGAAAATGTTGAAGTATTTAAAACACTTGGAATTATAGGTATAACCATCATTGAAAACATTTCTTCCGTCGTTTAAAATTTTTCGTAATGCTTTGCTGTGAGTGAAAGTATAAAGTTAAGTTAAAAGTTATTTTTCAGACTAGGTGTAGGCCTGGGTCGGTCTAGTCTTTTCCTCCACTTAGTTAAAAGTTTACAAAGGGTGCCCCAGATGTATCCTCCAGTCATGGCATTGGGCCTATGTGTATTTGACTGCATTTTGAGGGGCCGATACAGGCTTCCATTTGTGGTGGTCATTCACAAAATGCCACCTACATGCAGTGTTACCCCCACGACTGCGGGGTCTGACACGTCTGATGTCTGCTCCACTCCCCGAACATCAGACCCCATAGTTCTGGGGGTCAGCTACCCAGTACATGTAATATTATAACCCACCTTCTTGGTGTTCCCCTGATTTTTACGCAGAAAAGAAAGGAATACATACATGAACATGATTAATCATTGTTTGACAACAATATTTGTCTAATTTCTAAAGTTCCAACTTTCTGACATATTTAAAGAGCAACCCCAAAAAACACTCGCGTAGTAGGTGTATGTTGCAGAGGTCCTGAGTCTGTGAGGTAATGCACAAAACTACATTTTATTTTCTGTGTGAATCAAAAATCGCTAAATGGTAAAGTTGAATAGGCCAGAATTTAATACCAGTATAAATCTGGAATACGTTTTAGTATTGAAATGCCATAAAATAGCCCAACACAATATATAATTGGATCAGAATTTATGTGTTGCCACTTAAACTTTATGTTTTTTGCCTTTACGGTATAACGTGCATGACCGTATTGTCACCAAGTCCGTAATTTCGCCACCTATTGTCAAGTCTGATTGGTTTTCACAGTAACTAGCGAAATAAGGGAACTGGCCACTATACGGTCATGCATGTTGGAAAGAGCATGTACAGGTATACATAAATCTGCATTACCTTACCAGAGCCTCTCCATATATCTGTCTCTGGCTGTTATTTCTCTCCCATGTTCACGTGACTTTACTGGGCCAAACTTCAAAGTTTTTTTACATATCTCAGTCCAATATCAAACAACAACTTGAGGGAAGCTATACATGTAGTTTTGCCAAGAGTTCCGTGCAGACTATGGAATTGCAACCACGACTTAAGCATCGATTTTCCAAAAATCCAGTTCTGCCACAATGTGATGTCCAAAAAAGATGTGTTTACTAATAATTAACTAGTTTATCATTGCATTATAAACCATACAGAGATATGAAACAGGTTCTTTGTACAGTATGTAAACGGTAACTCCTTCAAAACTGTTGGGAGCATGGTTCATATTTGATCATGGCAGTAGGTTGCTGGTACTCTGTAGGCTTACTTTGTTTAGACCCCTCTCTGAAATTCAATATCTTCATTGAAAATAATATTTAATGATTGTGTTAGTAGTACATGTAAGAATAGCAGTGTTTTCCTACATGTACCATGCCTACGGGAACATATATTAGCAAATCCAGCAGTTGCTGCCTGTGCCCCATATTTTGAACATTTGCACATTTTTTCCCCTTTATTTTGCCCACACTGTCTTCTTGTAAATGTACGTACATGTACTATACTAAGGAGAGAACCTTTTATGTAGATGAGGAAACGCATGTTCCGCCTGTATGTTTGGATTTTACTTATGGGTGTGTTCTCTTGTTCTGTTGTAATGCCACTGTATCAGCAGGTCGCAGCATGCGTACATGGCTACAGTGTATATCCTGCATGTACATGAATGCAGTAGGCCTCTGATCAGAGGCACCGACTGTGTACAGTGTTTTGCCTGTCTGCCAATACATGCAAGTGAACTTTGGACTGATGGCATTGCTTAATACATTGTACATTTTTTTCTACCTCTAAGCTAATGGTTGTGCTGTACTTGTACGATTTACATTCAGAGGGATGATCTTTGATGTTTAAGTGCATGCATTTTTTTTTAGAGAGGCCCGTTTACATGCAGTTGTACTGTATGTGTACTTTGTTTAACTTAGTCTGTTAGGAAGTCCCAAATTAGTACTGTAGACAAAAGTGTGGATGCATTCATGCACAAATGCGCAAATTCAGCATACATGTATATGCTGAAATCCAAGCATTGCATGGAAAGTTTTGCCAATACTGATCAGGAAATACTGGGACATGCTGTATGCATGTAGTCACAGTTTACAGATTATCTTTACATGTAACTATGCTGACACATTGTAGACCTACATCATCATGTACACGATCTGCACATGTGCAATAAGCTTTGAACACATCATGGAAAGGACCAAACACTGAAGTATTTGTTTCAGGTTTGTTGCACTGCAGCGACTGAATTATGTTATGTAATATTTCTTGAGTAAACCAAGAGGGTAATTTCATATGTAATCATTTCCTGTTTAATGTGAATGGTTTGGAGCATTGTTGTACGTACATGTACATGTAAACATCTGTTTTAAAAACCTGGTTTCACGACTGATATGTCGTGACAGGTACTTTCCTGTACCTGTTATTGGAAACTAACAGAAGGCATGGTTGTGTTATTGGGAGGTGGAGAAGGAAGGTACATGTATATTTTTAGACTAAAGCCAAGGAAAGAAACTAGCATTAGAAAATTATATACAGGTCTGCAGTAGGAATAGGTGGCTGCAGCTGTGCTTGCAACTTTAATATTTTATTGTACCAGTCACAACTGAAGGACCACAGCATTGCATGATTGGTTTCTCTCTGCTAAAACCCTTACACTGACTTACCCAGAGAGCCCCAGGTTATGACTGCCTGTTTATGCCTTTGACAATACCTTTGTTATGGGAATTCTGTTACTGTTGAGTTCATACCAGTGGTATGTCTGTTGCTCATATGGATTGACCTTGCATGGTAGAGCGAAGTTTATTTGGGCAGAATTGTGTGTTGTTTTTAACTGGTACTCTTTCAAATTTGTTGTTTAGCACTTGTCTCGTCATGGTGGTTTTACTATTTGTTTCACTGTGCATTATTTACCTCAGTAACAACAACAGTAAACAGCTCTCAAGATGCCTGGTGGTTTAGTCAAAGCCAAGAAGTATGACTGGAAGGATTCTAACCTGGCTCTTTTTGGTTCAGACACGGAGAAGCAAGTCAAAAAAGCCTCGGCTGAGACCGAGCCGGCCTGGAGGGGGGCTGGCCAGAAAGTTGGGCTTCAGGTACATTTCAGTAATCTATAACATTTTGCAACATTTTTCAACATAAAGTAGCCAACCCATGCACTTTCAGAATATTTCCAGGATGTAAAAAACTGCTATCTTCCCCAAAATTTAGTTTGATAAATGTTAGACCCTTTTAAACCAACTGTAGTTTGTTTCTGTGGCTTTGTTCACCAAAGTTACTTTGCTGGTTCTTCAAAACACATAAAGCGTTTCATTTTTTTTCATTCCTGCTTTCAGATTTGGCGTATTGTAAAATTCAAGGTCCAGTCTTGGCCCAAAGAAGACTATGGAAAGTTCTTCAGTGGTGACTCTTACATCATTCTCAATACCTATGTAAGTTACTTTCTTCTTTAGGCTGAAAAAATTCTTGTATATTTTGACATTGATTTCAGAATTTAAATATTTACAGTAGTTTGCCCTTCTTCAGTTTTATTTTTAAATACTGTTCTGCTTTGTGAGACATATAGGCGAACTGACCTGCTCAAGGTTAACAGACATTCAGACTCAGATTTGTCTGACAGAATTCCATTCGTGGTGATTTCAACGTATAATAAACTTTGGTAATATACATGTAGTTTATGTTGGATTTTTACAGAAAGAGCAAGATAGTGAAGAGCTTCTTTACGATGTTCACTTCTGGATTGGTCAGTACTCCACACAGGTAAAGTGTATCTATCGAATCATAGACGTATAAGGAACTGAAGTGAACTGCTTGCTGACTACCATCATCTAAAGTACAAATCACAAAATATGGAGGGCCTGACGTTTCGATTCTACAGAATCTTTCTCAAAGGCAAAGGCCTTCCATGTTTGTCCATGAGAAAGATATGTGTACATTTGGTTACTGGAGAATAATTAGACTAAAGATTGGCCTGTTCCTATTGAACAATGAAAGATAGTGCTGTTAATAGGCAAACTCACTTCTCACTAACTTACTTGTGTCTTGTTACATTCTAAAATCTACAATGCTTGTCCTCAGGATGAATATGGTACCGCAGCTTACAAGACTGTTGAGCTTGACACTCTGCTTGATGATAAGCCAATCCAGCATCGCGAGGTCATGAGTCATGAATCTAACCTGTTCAAGAGTTATTTTGCCACCTTGAGGTGAGACTAGCACTTTTTGCTGTATAGGGCTTGCAGTACATAAACATGCATGTATTTTGGCCTATGGGAAATGACTTCAACCACTATATACATGAAAAATGATGGGTTTTTATACATGAAGGGTTTGGTCAAAACATACTCTTGCTTCTGGTCCCCTAACCGACCCTAATTTTTGGGTGCAACACCCTAACATTTTTAGTTGCAAGTCATAAAAACGAATTATAAATTAAAAAGTAAAAACTCCTATTACCTTTCTGTCTTCAAAAAAAGAATTTATTTTATTTTCACAAGTTCCTTGTGCACTTCTCTCTCTCGGTGATGAAAACGTGTGTAATAATTTTCAGTACATTGAAGCAATGCTGTACTGGTTCCCACCACACTTCCCCATTGCCAAAGAAGGAATAATGGAATGTAGAAACCAGTCTATGTATCCCATCCAAAATATCATCTTTAAACTACACCAGACATGCTCGCAACTGTACAGCTACATGTTGAACTGAGCAGTGATGTGCATTTACCTAGAAGATGTTGGCAATAAAAATTCCAAAATTTGATCTCTTGTCTGTGAAAGAATTTCTGTCTTCGTGAAATGATTTTGAGGTTGTACCACCCGTATTTTGAAGTGAGTTATTTTACCACAAAAGTTCCTTCACATGAGGCAAACCATGCAGTGTACAGGCATTATCGGCCAGTTTCTCATTGTGACAACTGTTGTGTGTAGTGCTGTGCTTGATCTGAATTCTGCATTGTATTTATGATTATCAACTGTAAATATTGTATTCCTAAAGGCAATTTTATCATTTTTTAGTGACAACATTTTATAGCTTTTGTCAAGCAAATGGAAATAGTCCAGGCCAAAATTTGCATATGATTGAATACCTTTTTAATCAGCACAATGAAAACGACCGAAATTTCCAACCTGTTTTTGAGAGACGCGTAAATAGCAACGGAACTAGTTTCTTTTTTTAGCCCTAAGTAACTATCCATGTTGGATTTTTGGGTTTCTTTTAAAATGATAAACAAACCGTTTGCTTTGCTGACAGTCTGATGGAAGGAGGTGCAGAAAGTGGTTTCCGTCATGTCAAGCCCACCGAGTATGAACCACGCCTTTTCCACTTCCATGGGACAAAGAAAAGCGTGCAGATGCGTGAAGTATGTCATTCCCTTTTTGTAGCAAATAGATGAAATCATTTTGTTTCTTATGACAAATCTTCTGCCCGTCTGTGCTCTTTAAATAAAGCAAGAACCAAACCGAGTTCCTTTTTGTCAAGAATGTACAGGTACATGTAACAAGACAAACTATCACAAGAAATGACATGTGAATTACACAGTGTGAGTCAGCCTCTTGTCATAGTTTCATGTCAGTTGACAAGCTGCTTCTGTGATTTGTATGAAAGGCCGTCCTTTCAATCCCAACAGCTGGTTCTTCTGCTTGTGGTATGATTTGAAGTACGGCATGGGATTGATTGAGATATTACCGTTATATTCATATGGGGCATATCATTGACAATTAAGGTATTTTATGAGTTTAACTCTATTTTTTCCAGGTTCCCCTGTCCAGGAAGTCTCTTGATTCAACTGATGTCTTTATCCTGGATTTGGGATTGGAATTGTACCAGTGGAATGGTGCCACTTGCAACAAGGACGAAAAGTTCAAGGTAAGAGTGGTTCAGACATTGGTATTATCTCCATCTTTTTTCTTTCTGGTTGTACGGTATGCGGCTGTGGGTTCTTCTTTAGCTGCAGTTTTCTTTTTGGCTTTGGTTTCCCCTCCAGATAGACATACATGTAGCTTCTCCTCTTGCCCTGGCTTTGTCTCCAGCTGTTGCTTCCTCTATGGCTGTAGCTTTCCCTCTGGTTTTGGCTTCCTCTCTTGCTTTGGCTTCCTCTCTGGCTGTGGCTTTCTTTCTGACTGCTGCTGTATGCTTCAGTCCCATGAATTGTCTCCTTGTGTTGGATCAGCTCAGTCCATTACTGTACATGTATGTCAACATCCAGTTTGTGCTGATTTTGGTTCACATGGAAGTGTCCCAACCCCAATTTCATATTACATGTACAGCACTGCTCAGTGATGAATGACCACTGTAACCCAGGTATTACTAGAATGATTATATCATGCTAAATGTGATGCCTTAGAGGAGGGAAATGCTTCTTTTTGAAATTTTTTTTTTCTGTCATTAGTGTTTAGGGTTGACTACATGTACATATAGTCAAGGAATGTTTTGTGAACTTGAAACTTACAGACTTTGTAAAATAAACTGCATCAAATGTTTAAGACAGAGTTATAATGTACTCCATCCTAATTGTTAAGCGGTGGTGTCAACTGATTGTGGTATACAGGCAGTCCAGTACCTTCAGCAAGTCAAGTCTGAGCGTGGTGGCAAGCCAACAGTTGAATCACTGGATGAAAGAGACATCCCTTCCAGTCACAAGTTTTATGAAAAGTTGCCTGATCAGGAAGTGGAGAAGGAGGAAGAAGACGACACAGATTTTCAGCCATCCATCTTTCGGTAACAAATCATGCTCTTGGAAAATAGTTGAAATTTTAGTGTTCTTAAATTATAGAGAATGGACATTTTGCAGAATGCTTCTGAAACTGATCTGTTGAGTATCCTGGTGGCTCCAGTGTTGTACTAATATCTAGTTTTGTACTCGTACTCGAATGTCCAAGTACTTGTACTTGAACCGGCAGCACTTTTGACTACAATACTGCCTCTTGTCTCAGTGAAGATAGACATGCATGCCTTGTCATCTAATTGGAGATCATTGCTTGGCAAAATACCTCTTGTAGATATACATAGCCAATTGAAAACACTAGCAATGACAACAGTGACTGAGCAGTCCATGTAATCCGCAGATGGGCCAAGCTTGTTGACATAAAGGTCTGAATTCTTTATCAAAACATTTACACATGTTCCTGGCTTATTTCTTTTCTCGGCACAACATTCGTGTCTCCATCTAAGGGTGTCTGATGAGACAGGATCCATGGAGATGACCCTTGTGTCTGAGGGTAAGCTTGGCCGAAGCTACCTTGAGTCTAAGGTAGGTTAAAAATTGTGTTTGATGTCTTGAAGAATTACAGCAACAGAACCCTAAATAATCATAACCATGACAAAAGGTAACATTGTTTATGTGTGCATGCCCACAATGTTGGCTTGTCCCTAAGGCTTTCTGCAGATTTTTTTATGCTTTATTGCTGTATTTGTCCATTTCATTTACTAAGGATGTGTTTCTGGTGGATTCTGGGAAGGAACTCTACGTTTGGGTGGGTAATGGGGCTAGCCCAGATGAGCAGAAGAATGGATTGACCTATGCTCATGTAAGTCACAGCCTGTATAGCATGCCTTTTATTGATGTTTGGAAACCATATTTAATAAATTTATCTTGAATAAATAATTGAATTCATCACTCAAAGTAGAAGTCTGCCCCGCATTTTGATGTTTTACCTGGATTATCTTATGAATGTTGATTCCTGTTGGTGAAAGTATTTCCTTTGGGATTACATTATACAAGATGTACAAGAAGTAGCCCTGTGAATTCATGTTGGGGTCCTAAGACTTCAGTCTGGGGTTACAAAACCTTGACTTCTATGATGTATTTCCAAACCTCTACTAGGAATGAACTTTATAAAAAATGTTTTACACTACTTTCCTTCTGATGGCAGAGCTACTTGATGAAAACCAAACATCCTCTCATTCCTGTCACTGTGTACAAGGAGGGCAAGGAAAGTGCTGAATTCAATAGCCTCATGAAGTAAGATGGTAGAGCATAATATTGTGATCTGAAAGATATGATGAACTGAAGCCAACAACCACCATTTTTTATAGGTGTTAATTAGTTAAGTGCTGTAAAATTCTTGCATGTGTATTACTGTATGAGATGCATTGATGGTTATTGGAAAGAACTTTTAATGTTGCAAGCAGCATTAATTAATCATTGTTTTCCTTTTTCATAAAAGGGGACATCATTTTTTCTTTTGCTTTTCTTGAACCTGCAGAAGTGTCTCAATATTAAGACATTTCATAGCTCTATTCAAAGTCGTTAATCCTTAAGTATTGTTCCTATTATTTGAAATCCCATTTTGCATGTACCGTTGCACATGTAATTAGTCCCAGGTCAACTGGAAATAATGGGACATAATGCAGTACTTTTGGAAGGGTTGAGATAGTAGCCAGGGTAGGCACACTTCAGATGTGCTTTATTTTTTAAATGTTTGTTTTTGCTTCATGACAAAATGTATACATAGAACAGTCCCAAATCCTCCAATTTCAATATGATTTTACATACACCCTGAAGGTTATGGGTAATATAACAAAACTTTTTAAGGAGCAAAGTCCGTGAATCCCTCTTTCTTAAATTCTCGTCTTTCCTTTGTTTTTCCACTCCGTTTGTGGCCAAGTTCTGGCTATAGTACACTAATTCGTCTGGTCACTGCAATTTTACTAAAGCAAGAGTTGACTGTATTTAGGTCCCAAATACATTCGCGTGATTCTGTCAATTTGTTGGCAAGGATATACATGTTTTTGCTCAAACCTCTACCCAGAATGAATTTCTTCCCCAGTTGTGTCTGTAGAACAAGCTTTGCCGTCACGGTCTTTCAGTAGTAATTTCACATACTGTTTTACAGTGGTTTTCATTTCATCTGATTATTTAACATTCCACTGTTCCTTGCTTTTATTGAAATTTTCACTCTCAAAATGAAAATAGATTGTACATGCTACATGTATACACAAATCGAGGACCGAAGCAATTCCTTAAATATGCAGAAGAAAAAAAAAGGAAAGTTGAATTATCTTTGTAAAACACTCCACATTGGTCATATTTTAAAGCTTAAACTTTGTTCGTAGGGATATTACAGACTCACATGTATGTGGGTCTTGGTTGACTGTTGTTGATAATCTACATTGGTGATAGTCAGTTGATATTGTGTTTACTAGATTTAAAAATCAACATTCCTCAAAGGGACCTGGTTATAATATTGTTCATGTCATCTAATCAAGGTTTGTCAAGTGCCTGTTACCTGAATTTCTGCTTCAAATTTATGCAGTTTGTGTAATAAGATATTGTGATTGGCATTTTTAAGATGATGAAATGCATTTGCTTCTAGTGAAAGTATGTCTTTGACCCTATGTTCCCAATGATTGAAAACATCAGACAATATTCGCAGTTGACATAATTGTTACAAACATTTATTTTTTATAGTGATGCCTATTTTATTCCCTTTGATCAAAGAAAATGAACATCAAGTCGTTATTGAGCTTATATACATGTATTGTTATGTGTATGGGAATAAGAAATTAAGTCTAGAGACCTTCCGCGTAGAAGACAGAAATCAGATATATATTTTTTTCTAATGAGGAATTTCTAGTTTTTTGAATGAACAATAAATTAAACAAATTTAAGTAGTTACAGCAGCTGTTGCTTGCTAAGTCCGTGCTTTGCTTGAGCTGTTTATTTCATTTCAAATTAACTTTTTGTCAAGCTGAAATGACAATAATTCTCTTGCCAAATATCAATTTAGATGATTTTAGTCCATTCCAGAATATTAATTTTTGAGAAATAGTAACAAACCACAAGAAGTATCTAAACTTGAGAGGATAATATCGATAGTTTACGTTCACGTACTTATAGTTTTTTGTGATAATAGTAATTAGAGATTCTTTTATCTCGGTGAGAGAATCGGATTGAAACCTTCAGTAGGCCTACACTTCCCCTGTGGTTGACTGGAGGATCCTTCTTAAATGGTCAGTTTTTATCTCGACGTTATTTCGTCTTCGCTTGGTATTTAATGTTATGACCAGATGAATATAAACAGTCTTGACGAAAACCTCAGGGGAATTATGAACGGATGCAGTTGTTGACAAAAATGTCAGGAATCCTCAGAGTGCAGAGGGCGCTAGACTCGTTTATAGTAAAATAAGAGATTGTTAGGGTGCCTAACGTTTTCCTTCGTCTATTAGAAACGGTTTTGCCTTGTCCAACTCCAAGGCGGAATCGGCGTTTTAATTTTGTCGAAGGAAGATCGGGCTTTACAAACGAAACCCACGCCGGCAAACAGACCTCCGTTTCCTCAGCGCAATGCGTAACGTGTATGTACGTGCACTGTACGTTTTCGTGTACGTGTCACGCGTTGCCAGTTGAGTAGAAAAACCTGGAAAGGCTACGTATCACCGTGATCAGATATATTTTTGTCAATATTATGAGTAAAAAAAACTTGTTTAGTCAAACATCTGGCTTAAATGTATTTTGAATTTATTTTTCATTCAGTTTTGGACGGGGGGGGTAAGGATATTTTTTTATGGTCTTATATTAACAGCGTATTTTGAGCCAATCACACCACAGAGGAAGGACACTCAAAGCAGGCTTTTCATGATTCATTTTTGTTGGCCAATAATGCGCGAGCGGGTCATCGTGAACGACGGGTGCTCGCGCTTACTAGGCCAGATTTGTCCAACGCCTTGGTCAAGGATCAAAATCATATACAGTTAGGCTACGGTGAGTGAAGGTCGATCTTCGCCTCTAGAAATGACTTTTACGAATATAATAATCTATCATAATAAAGGGGCAATTAAGGGACTGGCGGAGTTTTGTTCAAAGCATTGCGCTGCATCCCAGGCTAAATTATTCACGCAAATTAGAACCCAAAACTCGGGCGTTTTCGCGTGTTCATCCAATCTTGTTATTAATTTGCCTCAATTATGATAATGTTAGAATGCATCCCGTAATCCTCCGACCATGTTCGGACCAAAGCTCGGACTGACTTCGTTTCTCTAAATAGCATTCCTATCTTTCATGCCGCGACTTTCTGTCGGTGTGTGTGTACATTATTTGCTCCCCAGATAGGCTAGCACAAGTCTTCGCATTCTTTCTCATGAAGGGATCATCTTCCAGTTAACGGGATACATATGATTTTTACATTCCAACCGTGGCCGGATCCAATCATTTGACAGCTGATGGGCGTTGGCTTTTGAAGACGTACTGGGTTAGGTGCATCTGGCTTGCCGTTTTCAGTCGTTGCCTGCTGCAGTCCTGAGCGGGAGGATCACGATCACTCAGACCGGATCAACAATCGAAGGTAGGCGTCTTTTTGGCATGGGACCCTGTCAATATTGGATCCCTTTTCTTTAATCTTATTCATATTTATATAGTCTGGTATTGAAATAATAGTTTCCAGACTCATTTTGACCCTTTACAGGACACCACTACAGGCAGAATGGAATTTGTTTAAATTGCCACTGGCACTTACTTGTTAGTATTGTGGCTTCTACTCTTTACAGAGCTTCAATCAGGGTCAATCTTTTTCTCATGGTTAGCCGTATATGTGAGTCTACACTGATTCGTCATGTGGTTTTCTTGTTTTTCTGAAAAGAAATGAACCTCCACAAAAGAAAAAGTGAAACAAAATGTTCTCGAACAAATTGTAAGGTTTCTAACTTGATCTGCATCTGGTTTTCCGTATCATTCCTGTCGCATTAGGTATTTCGACCGGTAGGTATTGGGGTTTCTGTTCTTTTTTAGTTTATGTAGGGTGCTGTAGAAAATAGCGTTTTATACAGCGAACATTTATTGTAGAAGTTGAAACATTGTTAAACTACATCTCAGATTAGGGGTAGCGAAGCCTGACACAGATCATTGTTAATAATTCTGTCTTAATCTCTCGACGAGTCCTTGTAGTGTTGGTTGTTCTCTCGCTGTGTTATAAAATGATTGCTGTTCATAGTAATTATAAAAATAATAGTTTATTCTTGATATAGCGTCTTACATTAAAAATCTCAAAAAGATTTAGAAATAGAATCACAGACATGTAAATAGAATAAGAATTTACCCGGATATTTTCTTGTCTGAGCGGCCTGAGGTTTCAGACTATATTGAGCTTAACCTTGATATTCCAAAGAGTCACAGTCATTGCAGAATGCGACTTGTGTGTTCAAGCCGACTCCGCAATTCACTGAGTATTACTAGCCCCAGACGCGGGAGTTCACTGAGAATCCCATCTGCGCCGGGAGAGTGTTCGTTCATTGTATCTGAGTGGCGGCTTGTGACCGTATATGGGCATGTATTTTTCTTTGAGGAATGACTGGAGGTTTCCATACTGGGCGTGCCTGTATAATCTGTGTGAGTTCGTGGTTCTTGTTTTACTTTCAGAACTGCATACGGGGAAAAGGACACGAAAAGACACCACTGGAATGAAAATTCACTTTCGGCTGATTTTTTCCCAGAACGTAAATGAACTGCTTCCAATTCGAGGGAATTTTCGTAAATATTCAGGGCTACATATATGTTGTCAATTTACACCTTGTATGACCATCAAGAGTTGTTTCTGTTCACTATTTTCTGCCAATTCGAAATTAGCCTACAGTTGTTTTGACATTGCAATATGTGTTGGTACGTTGCTAGATTCAAACAAACATCCATCAAGATGGCCGCCCCACCGACCCGCGGACTCGTTAAGGCAAAGAAGTACGACTGGAAAGATTCCAATTTGGCGCTTTTCGGTTCCGATACCGAAAAATCGGTTAAGAAGGAATCGGCCAAGCACGAGATCGCATGGAGGGGTGCTGGTTTGAAGCCAGGTTTGCAGGTATAAGAAGCTGTCGTGTATTATCGATAATGATCAACTTTTCAAAAAAATTACCAATTTTAACACACATTGCATACGTAAACTGTATAGCTTAACTTCAATGTATATTACAGCCTTTTATGCGTTGAATCACGAATCTGAAAATTGTTCACCTCAAAGTGGAGAGAAATGTTTAAAACATGGAAATTAACCTGGAGAATTTTTTGATCAAGTTGGATTGTAACTCTATATAAAAGGGTATATCGTTTTTTCTGTGTGTTTTTTAAAATTGTATTAACAAAGGAAAAGCTAATTCCCTAAAATTATTATGACAAGGCTGCTTGGGTTTTAAACTTGCTGCCGGATCATTTTCAAGATTATCCGTTATCAAAATTCTTCAAAAATTTATCATTTCATTTAATGCCCGTTTATACCAAAATGAAGGACTCATTGGGCAACTACTCTAAAGCTGAAGGTGAAATTCATTGACTCCTGAATATTTCAGCGAGGCATGCAGCCTTGGAAAAAGAGCCCAGATTGTACGGTGTTACATAAGATTCTTTTGTTCCCGAAACCGGGTGGCGGAGAGATTTTGTCCCCTGTGGTAATCCGCTTGCTCTAATTCAAATGCCTCAAACCGCGGTATACTATTTCAAAACAAGGCTGGATTATCTCCGCTATTGAGAGCGAAAAAATGTCGGTAATGCCCAGCACCTCAGTCTTTTGTGCTGAGCATGGTCTTTTGTTATAAGGCCAAACTCTTTTGTCCCAGTTGCGGCTCCCCGGCTCTGCATACAAAGCCTATATCCCCGAAAACGGGTCGCCTGGCAGGTAGTGGTTAAAATTTAAGAATGATTGTATAATCTCGGGCAAAAGCCTTTTATCCTGGTTGATATGACTCATGGGTCATAAAAGTAGTTTTTCATTTTAGATTTGGCGCATTAACAAGTTCAAGGTGGAACACTGGCCAAAGGAAGACTACGGTAACTTCTTTAATGGTGACTCGTACATCATCCTAAACACCTATGTAAGTATTGTATATAAAGACCAATACAAGTCTTCATTTGAGGAGATTTCACACTATTCCAAACAGACTGCATTATACAATTTTCAAGATGTATTTTTCTGTACTAGGTAAATGTCCACCTTGCAAACCTACAGGTCTCATTTTAAAATGTGTAATTGACTACATTTACAAAGTTCGTTGAAATTAATGAAATTCAGCTGTTTCTGTCATCAGAAAACCTGCAGAGAAAAGGAAGGAACCATCTCAGGCACAAAAGGTGAGCAGAAGTGAATTGTTTGGTTCTTTTAGTTTGTGATAAATATTTCCTTTGAAAGATTTGGTAGCAGAGTTCTGTTATTAGACTTTGTGCAAGAATGCTAAAGAAATTAATGTTTTTATGTTTTCTGTCAGCCTGCTGTAGATCTTGAGAAATTGCGAAGAGAAAGAATTGAAAAAGAGAAAGCAAGACAAGCGAGGGTAGGTTGAAAGAAAAAAGGCCAAAACAAATAATTTTGAGGTTTGCCACCCCTTGACCTACCACAGTACTCATGCCTTAAACTGATTGCATTATCTTGCATCACGTACATGTATACCAGACACAGCAGTCACAACTGTCGTTGTTCCGTCTTTTTGTTGCAGGAGAAACAATCCCGCATCAATCAGCAAAAACTTGTGGACAAACAGAGAGTGGGTAGTTTTTGTTTGAGAAATTGAAAACCATGTGCAAACTGCAAATATATTACCATATTGTAGAAATATCCTCAATCAGAGAAGTTGCAAATTCTCAATGTCTGACTCATTGAGGCAATAATTTGTTGTTGTTAGGAAAGTGGGAACCACATCATGGGGACAAAAATTCCCCCCCCCCCTTAACATTTTTGGTCTCAGTAGTGTCTGTACTTTAACACGTGTCTTGTCCCCATAACCCGGTATTAAACAAGTACATGTGTGTAGAATAGGTGTATCTGTGGACAAAATAGCATCTATCTCCATCTATCAAAGGTCCTAACTAATATTTTGTGTCACAAATACATTTTCCATCTGATGATTTTCGTTTGCTAACGGCAACTTTAAATTTGTACTTGATTTGTAGCTGCATCATATCAACAAGGCCAGAGAGGCTGGTTGGCGTCACACACTAAGTTCAGGATCTGGTGGATCTAACGGTGTGGAGGTAATGTAAAGCTTTCTTGATTTTCACTGACAATATAACTAATGGCATGTTTAAAAATAGACACCTTGAGTTCTTGTTTGTTTTTGGTTTATTTTGTTTTCAGTTCTATTCAGTTTTCCTCAATGTCATCTCACTGCCTGTGTTTTAGTTTTCTCTTCAATGAATCTTGTTCTGTTTGATATCTTGTCCTTGTTTGTTTGATTACTTTTTGTTTGTGAAGGTTATTTTGACATTTTGTTTATTTTTCATACTTTCTCTCCAAACACTGATCACAGGTTTAGAAGTGGGAAAATATAGTCATAAAAAAGTGTCACTGAAATTTGGTTTGACACCAGTTGGACAAAAAGGAGAGTAGGACACCATCTGATAATAGTCCTGTAGGCCTGTGTACTGATGATGTCATGCTTTGTTTACATGTGCACTTTGCTATGGAGCCAGTGGGGGCCCAGGGTCCACTGAACACACACATGTAAACAGAGTGGGGCATCATGACCATGAATAATTCGGACATCTTGTTTAGAATTGTTTTATTTTACAAATTCCCAATGTAGTTTCAGTTTATTTAATCGCATAACATGTACATGTATGTCTCATGTTAGCAGAGTAGATGTGCATGGTTTTGTTTGAATGGTTTGATTATGCGCATGCTTCCATTCAGAATAACGGCCAATCAAACGATGAGCCGCCAGTCAAAGAACCCAGGATAGATCCTGACAAGGCTAAACGTGAAGTCAAGGTTGGTTCTCAAACTGGTTGCGTGTGGTTCTATCTGCTTCAAACTGATCTCAAGCAGAGTCTTCAATCCAGTGATTGAAAGTCGGCTCTTAAATTTTATCACGACCAATTTTATTGAGCTACAATTGTAATACAAATGTGAACATTTACACAACCCAATTGCTGTGACAAATCTGAAATAATATTGTTCTTCACTGCCATATCAGTTATATTTTTAGATTCCAACGGTTTTCAGCTTTCAAATTTTGCGTCATTTAAGATCTCAAGTCTCATTTTCCTAAAAAAAATTCTGTGTGTTTTAATATGAGTGATGTAGTAATTGGGGAGCATTTTACATTAACAAGTGATGAACATATTTCAGTAACATTTGAAAGTTTGCAAACTTCATTCCTCTTTTGCTCTGTTGCTCCGTAGCCTTTCAAACCTCTCCAAGAAAGAGGTAACTACGACAATTACCACAAGTACCTGGATAACCTCCGTGCCAGAGCTCAAGGTGCGGAGGTGGGGCAGGGCGGGGCAGCCATGTTCAGAAGGCAGGAGGAAGGGAGGGCGTGGCCAGATGAGGCAGCAGCGAGGCAGAACATCAGGGATCGTCCAGTATCAGCCAGCGCCGCTGAGGCAGCCCGACGAGGAGAGATGGCAAGGTGTGATAGTAAAGATGTCTGGTGGGGCTTTGCGTCTCCTCTCTGTTGTGTAATGTATTTAATAAGGGAATAGAACCCTCACCCAAACATCACTGGTGACAGGACTCCATTTGGCCTGGTGCCAGGACCCCATTTGGGTTTTAAATATACTGATTTATAACCGCTCAATCTTGCATGAATTCCCAATCACAAATTTTTCATACAAACATCAAATTGAAGTCTAACGTTGATATGCTTTCCCAATTATCCTTTTTTTCGTTCAAATGTAAAACATTTCAGGAGATGCTGTTTTGAAAAATTGATGAGTAGATGCATCTGGCAAATGCCAGCACATGAAACCCTCTTAGAAATCCAGGACTTTGTAATTTTCGTACTGAAATTTTCAATTGGCTTTGTAGGAATGCCGGTGCTGAGGCAGCAGACAGAGCGAGGCTGGTGGAAGACTTCTTGGCCAACAAACGAGCAGCAGCGGCCAATAAAGCGAGGGTCTCCAACCCGTTTGGACCGGTAACTTGTCATCAGCTGGCTTGATTGCATTTTTGCGACCTGTTCAATGAGCCAGTCTGCTATTTCAAAAAAGCAAGGCCATCCAAGGTCAAAGTACACGCGCAAGTCTGCGTAGGGCCACGCTGATAGGTTAGATCTCCCACACCAGTTCAAATGACTCCACTGTGGGCATGCGCTGTTGGAATACTGAACTGGCTCATATAGGCTGTAGTTTTATGCTATAGAAGACAAGCTCCATATTGAAAAGTCAAGAAGCAAACTGTAAAAGAGCAAAGTGGTTCTAAAATAGAACTGAGTTTTAGTCAGCTGTATTCACGACCATGGAACTACTATTTGTAAAGCATCAAGTAACGAGTCAAGAAAACTCAGTGTGGTGAAAGAAATCCTTTAAATTTTAATAGCAGAAACCTTGTTAAATTTAAAACACAGATATCTGGAAAGTAACTTAAATGTACACCCAGGTATCGTCTAAGTTGAAGGAAAACAAATTTTAATCTTTTCAATTTGGAGGCAAATGAAAAAAATTCATCCTCGGTTTTTACGGGCCCTAGATTGGTCAGTTAATTCAGAAATTTCAAGATTGCAAATTTATGGACAGATTGAGAAGAAAAATTCCCAAATATTCAGTTTAAGAGTTTCTAGGAAAAGTACAGGTTTCAATTCTTAGATGGTTTTATTTTTTTCTCTCATTCAGAGCCCAGCCTACAACCAGCCAGCTCCATCTATCGCACCATTTGCTGGTAATGCCAAAGGAAGAAATCCCCAAGAAGAGGTACATTTTAAAAATCAATTCATTTCAAAAGAAAAGTTGAAATAGTCTAGCCATCCCTATTTGTCAGGAGATGGTCATTTGGGGTGCTGTAACATTAAAAAGGTAGTATCACATCTCAAATCTCTCTTCCTTACTGCCAGGAGTATTTGGAGCGTCTGAAGGCGATACGGATGCAGAATTTCCAGGAGAGACGAAACCTCCAAGAGAAAGTTGCAGCTGGAGAGGGAAAGGCAGTCAAGGTAAACAAGCAGATCTTGGGTAACGAGCAATGCCAATCAATTATCTGTTCTTAGCAAGTGCTTAATTTGTCATGTACCCTGAATCTAGTTGAACTACGAAGTTGGAGCTCCTTGATGTATATTTTGACACAAATGATTTGGCTGGTATCCAGCGATGTGACCATTCTGGGAGGACTGGTCTTGAATAGTCAACTGGACCAGTCCAGCCCTCGTTATCTAGCTTGCCTGTGGTTACAATCAGTCAAATGATTAATTTTACCATAGTTGTTGATCACACTTGTTCCTTTATCTGCACTCTGCATTCACTTCCAGGGGTTATGTATGTACGTTTTCCAGATCTCATGATGTTAGTTATGATGACGGGGGCCACTACTAGACAAGCTCTGCTTTTTCGAGGCCCCCATCCAGATTTATTACTGTAAATCTGTGATATTTACCCAATTGTTATGTGGAGAAATAAATGAGATTGATTGATGATACACTGTATTGTAATCATAAGAGATTATTGATGTGATGACCTGTTTGTGGAGTAATAGATGTATTCTCTCTTTAATGCCCCAAACTTATAGGCATCTCTGGAGTCTGAAGTTCGAAGGAAAAAGATTGAGGCACTCAAGGTACAAGAATACCATACAGGGATGGTTTTGATTAGATTTTTGAGATGCTGGTCGATAAAAAGAGTGCCCTCATTTTTTATTATGCTTCTTACACTTGTTTTACTTCATGAAAAAAAAGGTTTCCTCTCAGATAGTTAACAGAACAGCAAACAGTCCTAATCTGGAGTCTATAACATGCTATGCTGTGTACAAAACCTGTGAAACAGGAAGAAGAAACACAAACATAGGGCCAAGGGGACACGTACGTATGTATGATATGCATTATAACAGCACTTTATCCCCCAGATTTCCCTCTGATCATCTCAAAGTAGACCTTTCTTTCTCCGTTACTGTAAACTGTACAATTAGCGTATGCAAAGAAAATTAGTTCATAAGTTGATTAGTTGAGAAGGATGGAGCTCGAACTCAAAAGACCTGATGTCTCATGTTCTTTTTGCTGTACCACAGCAACGTTGGTTTTCTTCCAAAACCAGTAGTCAGTTTAGATATGCGATGTTCAGTGCACCTGTTCTCATTCATGTTCATCTTCATGAATTGTCAACAGGCCCAAGCTGATGAGAAGGCTGCCAAACTGAAGGAACAGCTTGAGAGACAGAGACGAGAGGCATACGAGAAGGAGAAGAAATCCTGGGAAGACCACGTGAGTCTGATAAGGGGAGCTCGAGGTCATAACTCTCTGTGGATTGGCATTGTGGTTTCCAGAGCCACATTTTCTGTTCATGTCGATTTATTCATGTGACTGTCCCAAATCTATTAGGTGACAAGTTTGAAATTGATATGAAATATCAATCGAAAGCCTTAAGTGTTTGTTATATTTAGAGTGTTCCAGCTTATTTCAGTTACATTGAAAGCTGGAGTTAAGCATAATTTTCCTCTCTGGTTTTCAATCAACAGTTGGCCAAGAAGAGAGCTCAAGACGCCAAAAGGTGAGCTATCATCCTTGAGACCTACTAGCTTCATGCATTATGCACATCTCAGATATGAACCTCTATTATATAACGTATGTAGATACACTACAAGTAACAAAATGCCATTGAAAAGATGCAACCCTGTCAAATACTCAAGAGAAATGTGAGTTGGTATGAAAGTAGTTAGCCTAGTCATGAACCAGTGCTAGATGCACTGTTTAAAGAATATGCAGTAGAAAGGATCCAATTTATGAAGATCTGTGGGTTGTATGAGAGCATGGTTATTTGATTACCTCAGTCATAGCTCTTCCATTGTTTGTTATCTTTGGTTACCAGGCCAGCAGCAGTACCAGCTGCAGTACCAGCCAAGGGCCCAGCAGCTGCAGGTAAACTGTCATCATCAGTTTTGTTGTTGAAATCCTTTTCCTTTTTAGCGTTTTTAATTTATTTTGTTAGCATCATGGTTTGTAGCATTTTTATTTAAATGATGAATGGGTCATTTAATCATGAATCATGTTATTTTGTTAACTGGAGTTTGATTTAAAGTGTGTTAATGAAACGCAGGATTGATACGCAAAATATTTTCGTCAGATTGTTGACAGGCTTTCCTTCTTGTACAAAGTGTTTCATTATTTGTTTGTTTTTTGATTGACAGTGGTACCCCTGACAGCAGTGTTGAAGGATGTTGGATGTGAACTTCTACCATCAGTAAGACTATTTGATTGTCAAAAGGTCTTGGGTTGGGGCATTTCGGTTGGTCTGTTTTTTTGTCAAAGACTTCCCAGGCATTCACTTATGGCAGCAGGTCTTTCCAAAAACCTTATCAAATAAAATCCAGACTTGCCATTTGTAACTGATGCTGGCTTTCTTGTGAACTGAAATCTAACTTATTTCATGGTTTTGTTTTTGTCAATCCAGGAGACGCCTGAGCTTAAAGATGAAGCCTTGTCCAAGTAAGTATAAACTTTATGCTTCGGTCAGTAAAACTGGATATTACCAATGTTTGGTGTTCAAAACGAGATGAGTATTTATTCAAAATAAGGTCTCCAATTGTGGTTGGAAAAACCTCTGCTTAAGTCATGATGGTGTCATCCAGAAAGTGGGAATCACTTCTTTCTGATGTGCCAAACTTGATCCGTGTGCTTAACATCAGCAATCGAAAGCATCATCCTATAAAAGTACAATTATGAGCTGAGAAACAATTGTACAAATCACAGTTAAGAAACAAGTTTTTAAATCGGCATTTCCTGTTGATGTACGTGGTACGAGGCATCATGTAAATAGACTCCGTGAAGGGGAAAGTTCTTCAAAGTGTTACCGAAATGAAATTCTGCAATTCATTAGAAGAGAAAGCCTGACTGTTGATGCCGAGATGATTCAGTGAAGTTGCTTGGGCCTTGTGTCTGTTCCCTAGACCTGCAGTGCCACAGGAGGAGCAAGGCGGAGATCGTAAAAAGTGGGGAGATAATGCAGCCATCAATCTGGGTAATCTGCCGTTACAAGAGACAGCATCAGGCATGGAAGGTAAAGAAGGCATCAAGCTTTTCAGTTGTCAAAGATTCCAAACTCATCGTCATAAAATCTGTGCTGCGTGAGAAACAATAGTTTAGTTACACAAACTTGAAATTCAGATGGAAAACACATTCCAAATGCATGGAACATTTGAGCTTGAAATTCTACGATATCGTGGTGACGAGAAACATACCTGTTTGTGGGTTTTGTTTGAATCAGGCTTATTTTTTTTAATTTTCAGCCACCGGTGCAGGTGATGTTGTCATAATGAATGCAGGAGCCGCGGCCAGTGTTGGGGGAGGGGGCGGAGGGTTGGGAGGGGGTGGGAAGGGAGCATTTGGCCCTCCACCACCCCTGCCTCAAGGACGTAAGAAATGGGGTGGGCCTGCACAGACAGCGCTGAATGCCTTGCAGAAGGCAGAGATTGTTGAAGGTACGACCACCCTATTAACAGCTGATCCAACAGGTATGGAACTTGTAAAGTAGGGATATCCAATACAGTGTGTGATATAACGCAGTAACATTAAGAATTTTTGCTCATTTCCCATGGTGCATCATTTAAAGAAAAATTCTTGAGTTCAAGGCTTTTACAGTATTTGTAGCCGAAGCTGCTTCACTGAATTTGCCCCAGCAGTTTTGTTGCCAAGTTTTATGTGAGTGTGAATGGCTGTCATTTGTGTGTGTGTTATTTGTAGGTGGGGCTCCAATGGGTGTAACAATAGTCAAAGATGAGCCAAGTCCTCGTAAACTGCCCATCGCCAAGGGAACCATCACCATAGCCGCTGGAGCTAAGAAAGGAAGTGATGACACAGATGCTGGTAAGGCTAGTGAATGTTGATACCTAAACAAAATCGAACACACACATTAGTCAGAGTGGAAAGCACGCCTGCTGTCATGTCCCCACATTCCCACTAAGTTGCGTCTCCAACTTTTATCTTCAAAAAAAGGTGACTTTACGATGCGTCTTATATCGACTGTAGCACTTTGAAGATTACAGATGTCCGGGAAGAGAGATTGATTCAAGTTGAACGGATAGAAGAAAGTTTAAATTACCACAATATTCCATGTAGTGATAAGACAAGGGAAGTAAAAAGATTTGATTGTAAAATGTGGACTAGGTGCAGGGATTAAGAGCACAATGCCGCACATGCTTCTGTTAATTTTAGCCATCTAATAACGATTTAGCAGTATCACAAATTGCATCTTCTGGATGGTCTATGCACGTGATCATGCACCATCAGGAGTGTACTGGCTGACTGGTGTGGATGAATTTAAGCTGTTTTTAGGCATAAAAAACACTTTCGAGGAGCACCAATGTTGACGTCATCAGCAGGAAGCCACAGACAACACAAATTTAATCAAATTAAACAGCGAGCCTGTGATGCTTTTTGCAGTCAGTGCTTTCTTATTAATGTACAAGCAAGAACATCATATTGTTTTACAGTGATCATGCCACTGTCACCATGACCGTAACGGTTGTGCTGCTTTGCAAAAAAACATTTAGATCTGTTTTTTCTTTCGTCTCTTCAGCTTATTTTCCTATTACACTATTGACATTTGAAGTTAAGTAGTCCTGAAACCATGAAACTCTTTTTTTTGTTTTTCTCTGAAGGTTCCATTGAGACTATTGATGTAAAGGAGACCCAAGTTAAGCCCAGCCCAGGCCAATCGATATCTGATGTGCCTAATAAACCACGCTCTGCCTGGGGTCAGTCTCCAAGCTCCGTGCCTAAATCACCAGATACGCCAACCACTCCCACCACACCCAAAGAAGGTCAGGATATTTTAGTGTCTACTGGGATCAAAGCGATTTGAAACTTTGCATGCTGCAAAATGCAGTATTTGCAGGCACACCACATAACAACTCTAAACAAGGATAAATCATTTAACTTTCATCTTGCGAGTTGACAATCTTGATTCAGCTTGTTTGTTAAAACCCATCTGCTAGGCTCTTCAAATTTTTGCCAGTAGTTTCCATAGTGAGCTGTCACTTAAGTGTGAATCTTGAATATTTATTGAGCTGACAAGCACTGAAACACATCAGATGATGTGTCCCTGGTACTCTGCAACTCAGCACATGTGGAGGTGTCCCTGGTACTCTGCAACTCAGCACATGTGGAGGTGTCCCTGGTACTCTGCAACTCAGCACATGAGGAGGTGTCCCTGGTACTCTGCAACTCAGCGCATGTGGAGTCTCATCTGTTTTGTAGATCCACTTCAACCGTTGTATTTACAATTTTCCATCTACAGAGTCGGAGCAGACTCTCAGGGCCCCTTTGTCACCCAAGAAACCAGTAAGTCCCAGGAGCTCCACCAGTCTGGACAAAGCCTCCAGCCCGGACAAAGCCTCCAGCCCGAACAGGAGCTCTAGCCCAGACGTTACTTCTAGTCCAGCAAAGGCCTCAAGTCCAGATAGGGCCTCTTCTGCAGAGAAAGCTAGCCCTGTAACGAGTACAAGCCCAGTCAAGATGACCAGTCCTCGGAAGTCACCAAGTCCGGTTAAGGCGTTGCTTTCACCAGACAAGATCAGTGACAGGCCAGAACCGAAGAAAGAAAGTGCTGAAAAGACTATGCCAAAACAGGAGAAATGTAAGTGTTAAGTTCATTTACCCAGTTGTCATACTTGCCCAGTTTGGCCAATAGGTTGGTACTTTGTGAGACAGTATGTGAATTTATCCAATGTGGGTGTTTGAACGTTCTTCCATCACCTCTGGAACTGAATGATTGAGGATGATGCGTCGCTTGCATGATGATATAAGATTAACCAAATCAAAACAACACTCTCCTCCTGAAGCATCTCTTGGTTCTTATTTCTCTGTAAGACATTATGAGCATTTTGCCCCAATCACTGAGTTAAGCCCATTCCTTGTCAGACTTAATCATTTTAGAGTGATTCTGTGAAGAAATCATAATCTGTTCACAGTCGTTCATAATGTTTAGCATTGCTGGTATTTCCAACATATATCAAAGCCGTTGAATAGGATCCTGTGATTAAATGAAAAGAGAGTAACGTGTTTGTCTTGCACCTTTTCCTTCCCCTCCCTTTCACCTAAAGGCGATGACATTGCACAACCTAAACCAATTAGTCAAGAAACCCCTGGAAAACAAGTTACGGCCACCTCAAAGATTTCTTTCACCCCAACTCGTTCCCCTACCGCGGAATCTACAACCTCACCCGAGAAATCCATACACAAAGGGTCAGACATCCAACCAAGCACTGAGATTGTGGACAAAGGCCAAACGCAGCAAGCCCAATATGTGCAGACAGACTTACTTGATGAACAATCAAACCAAAAAGACCAAAGTGAAGAAATCACCTCTGATTCTAAACATTCCTCTTCCAAAATCAGCATTCCTAGTTCCCCAGACCTAGCTCTGACTTCCCAAATTGAAGATATAGAGAACCCAGATGATATCATAACCCTAGATGACCCCCCTAGGAGCCCAGTGCACCCTGGAGATAGCCCCACTAAACCCAAACTTAGCCCAGGGGCACCCAGTTACCCCAGCTGTGATGCATGGAAAACCTCACAGCCTAAGCCACTGCTCTTTCCAGAAGGTACATGTCTGAGTATGTTTCCAGAGTTCAGCTATTTGCAGTTTGAGCTTCACATTTTTCACCACGATTTCTCCACTCACCCTCCCCTTTCACTTACAGTTCTTGCCAACTTGGCCATTGCTGTGTTTGATTTTGTAGTTAAAGCAAGGTGCTAACATTTACGTAAGAGGCATTTGGGTCATCCTTTTTGCAATGATTAGTGATGCCTCATTGCATGTTAATAATTTAGTATTTGTTGGTTTAACAGAACTGTTTAGTGTGTTGAGCAATTTACATAATTTTTTACTCTAGCCTTTAATAGACTGCGGATTAACCCAGACATTTTTGTTTAGTAGTTTAAATAATAACATAATATCAATTTAGTTCAGCAATTTCAAAAATAAAACGGTGTTACATGTAGCTTTATTCTTTATAATTCCACCCATACTTTTTATACCAAAAAAAATGAGTTTGCAAAAACAGCAGTCCTCATCGTCCCCATTTGTTTGGTAAGAATGCTATCAGGCTATTTGTTCACATATTTTTTTCATTTAACAGTGTGTGTTTGCAGTTCTACAAAAACATTCATTTGTGAGTTACATTATTTCCATAAGGGTGCTGTTCTGGTGAGTATTGAGTATCAACTATGGTATTTAAATGTCCTTGTCTTTCTTTCCAGCTCTTGTGAGTCAGGTTGAGTTTGAAAGTGATGAGGATGACGATGAACAAGATCAATCCTTGTAAGTGGAGTTCAAGTTGACACATTTGTGACCCGCTCTGCAAAAAAGGGTATAAACCCTAACCCCCTAGGCTCCTGCACTAGAAAGCATACTGAACCTCACAAAATCCAACAGGTTCATGTACTTGTCTATGTACTTGTACATGCAGGTTACTGTACCAAACCTGTAAATT